TGTACAACTTCCCGCAATTACCTGTGACCAAGATTTGAGCCATAGAGCAGTGGTGGTAGAAAGAATATTTTAGGGGCTGCCACAGAGAGGAGGAAGTCAAGCTATTTTCCAAGGCACTTGAAGGTCAGACAAGGAATAATGGATGGAAACTGACCAAGGAGAGATTCAACCTAGAAATAAGGTGAAATTTCCTGACAATGAGAACAATCAACCAATGGAACAGAAGTTTCCTTCGGAAGTTCTGGGAGCTTCATCACTGGAGGCTTTCAAGAAGAGATAGGACTGCCATTTGTCAGAAATGGTGTAGGGTCTCCTGCTTGAGTAGGGGGTTGGACTAGATGACCTATAACGTCCCTTCCAACTCTGTTAAACTGTTATATGTTAACCTTTAGCCAATAAATGAGGAATCTGTCTTGTTGCATGTCCAGTCTTTTCCCTTCTCCGCAAATGCCCTCCATCTTTTTATTTCAGCTTTGCTTCTGGCGTGGCTCATTGGGCATCTGCTTTCCCACCCTTGGAGACTGGTGCCATGTATTTTTAAAGCCCATTGAGGATGATGAGTGAGTTGGAGTTAATGTCCTGAGGACAGGTGGCTGTCGCTTTCTCAGTATGGTTCCCCACCTGTAATCTTACCACTCAAGCAGCTGCCAGATAGTCCAATTATCCTTATTTTCTACTCCCCACTTGGGCCCTGCTTTATCAGTGCTCAGTCAACTGCAGAATAATTCCATCCAGTTTAACATGGGATATATATGTGCATGTGCATTTAAACCTGTAACTAAGCATCTGTGGATGGAATGAGATTATTCACAAGACAAATTGGAAGGGGCCAGGATCTAAGGAAGCTATTTTCAACACCCCTTGTTTGCTCTTCTGTTTGTTTCTGTTGTTTGGTAAACATTCCCAACAGCAAAATTATTAACCACTTATTTTCTCTAGTAAGCAAGCAATTCCTCTGCACATGCATATTTCAACGTGTACTTTTTCCTTTTCCTGGGTGCCTCAGTCTGTTCTGGTTCACGTACAGGTCAGGGAAATGAAAATTGCATAATTTCATTGGAAGCAAATAAACTTTTCAGTACCTGCCCTGCTTGGTAGAAATGTAGGTGAAGCTTTTTTCTTGGACAGGATAACATGGTGGAGCAATTAAACTCCCAAGAGTGGCAAAATCCACACCAGTTGCTAATTTGGAAGAAGGTATGTAAGAAACTCACTCTTGAGGACATTATAGCAGGAGAAGAGCTATCTTAATCTACAATGGCAAAAAAATAATAATCAGGATGTATATGATGACATGAGCTGCAGCTCATGGAAAGCTTATGTCTTTTAATAAAATGTGTTGATTGGAAAACATGCCACCAAATTCCTGATTTCTTCTCCCATGCTGCTGGATTGAACTCCTTAGTCCGATGATGGCAAACCTGTTAGGAATATAATCTAACGGTTGGGTTGGCAATATATAAATCATGTAACAATGCTATACCTGTGTGCCACAAGTGGCATGCTGAGCCCTCTCTGAAGGCATGCGAGCCATCACCCCAGCTCAATTGCGCGTGTGTGCGTGCCTCCCACTGGCCAACTGGTTTTTGGGTCTCTGATGCACATGCACGGGGGAGCGTGTGCGTGGAAATCATATGTACATGCACAGGGGGTGGGGGAGCATGGGGGGGTCACATGTTCATGCGTGGGGTGGGATGCATGCAGGGGGGTTATGTGTGCATGCGCAGGAATGGGTGGAGCACACGTGCATGCTCCAGGGCAGGACACACATGGGGGGGTCATGCATGCATGCACAGGGGGCATGGGGCATGGGAGAGGTCGCATATGCATTGCATTATGGGTGTGCACGCTGGTTCCATCACAAATCCGTGAAGCCCTTATCCGCGGAGACATAAGCGCGAAGACTAATTCGCGCCGTTCTAAGCGCTAAGGAAAACCGCGACCCTACGGCGCTGACATAA